AAGGATTCCTCAGTCACTATTGGTGGGATTGTCAGTAGAGGGTGGGATTGTTAGTAGAGGGTGGGATGGTCAGTAGAGGGTGGGATGGTCAGTAGAGGGCGGGATTGTCAGTAGAGGGCGGGATTGTCAGTAGAGGGTGAAATTGTCAGTAGAGGGTGGAATTGTTAGTAGAGGGTGAAATTGTTAGTAGAGGGTGAAATTGTTAGTAGAGGGTGGGATTGTTGTTGGAATAAGAGGTCAATATGGAGTTGTGGGTAGAGATGTGGATAGGTGTGGGTAAAGGTGGGAATCAATATGGGGATGTGGGTAGAAGTGGGATACCATGTGGGAATATTGATAGAGTTGAGGATTGATGTGGGTAAATCTTCTGTTTGATGTGGGGGGTGCAGTTATATTGGTAGGGATCTATAGGGATGTGGGAAGAGATAGGAATCAATGTAGGGATGAGGGTAGGGGTGAGGATCAGTCCATGTGGGTAATCGATGTGGGAATGTGGTTGTAGATGTGGGGATCAATGGAAGGTTGTGGGTATTATGTGGGAATGACTAGGGGTGGGATTTTCATGGTAGTGGTGTCTGTTAGAGGTGGGAGGGTTGGTGGAGGTGTGATAATAATTATAGATACTGGCTGGGGTGTGGTATTTTAGATGGTTCACAAAGATTGGAAATCTACAATGGACTGAAAGAGCCTACCATGCTCTTTGTTAATTCTATCTAGTCAGATTATCTCTAAAAGAATTACGCTGTAAAAATGAGACGTGTGCTGATGATCGAGTCAAGAGATAGTATTGTGCAAGTTCTCTAAGGCTAGCGGATGTGGAGTATCGGGTGGTGATCCCATTCATAGGTGCTCACTCTCTCAGTGCAATCATGTTTTAAACTCCTGGACCTGATGACAAGGATGGCAACCTTAAATTCATACAGAAATCAATAACAGTTTATCAATTGTTTTTACTGTTAATATTACATATGAATCTCTTGAAATGGATGACGAGGAAGATTATCATGTTTTTGAGGATGATGATGATGATGATGATGATGATAAGGATGATGATGATGATGATGATGCATTATTTAGTGTGTAACATAATAATATTGATTGTGATATATGAGGATTATCATGTATGGTGATAATAATAATAATAATAGTAGTAATGATCACATGCATTTTTGAATGTTGATGATGATGTTGATGATTCTTTTGAATGGAGTGTACTTGTTTGACATGCAATGACTATATGTGCACCTGTGGTTGGATGTGTGAGAGGGTGTGAGTGTATTTGTCCTGTTCAACGTGTAAAATCTTGAAAAATAAAAAATTATAAAAAAAAATATATGAATCTCTTTATACATCCCTGGTATAAATATGGAATCAAATCTTTAAAGAAAATATTGATTTGAGAATTTCTGACAATTTCGTACTGACTCACTGAATTATATTGATAGAAATCAGGGACTAAATATATATAATTGAATTTCTTTACAGTGTATGGATATTTGTTATGTTTGTGGTTAGGATTTCTGATATGATCGATAAATACTCCGATCAAACATTAAACATGGTGGGATGGTCAGGTACATCAAAGGAAACTCCATTATTTCGGCTTGTATTTATTAACAGGAATAAGATTTCTTGAAAATTATTAAATAAAAAATGTTGATACTTATATTGAAATATCATTGGTAAATGTAAGGTATTTGTGTGGCATGTACAAACAAGTTAAACCTTTAATCAGCTTTTAATCAAGTTTTTTTTCTTAACTCATTCAATTAGACATTAGTAATCTGTCATATTACTTTCAAAATTTGTGTTTAATGTTATTTTTAATATTAATGTGACTCAAGTGAAATATTGAGTCAAATCATAGTATGATCATTCCTGCAGCTATATGATAAAATCTGAACTACCAAGTATGGACATATGGATGTTAACAGGAAAGGCGTCTACTTTCTGGGTAGGATGTTCTTCAATATTGACGAAGTCTATTTTTAGGTTTTAGACACCTTTTCAATAGGTGGTACAAATAAGACAAGAATTCATTTCAAGTAGGGCTGTATTTTATCAGATACAGTGTATATTGTAAAGTTTGAATTTATTATCTCAGCATGGTGCAGTGTAAACTTAAAGGTAGTACACTTGTAAAACATCATCATACAGGTAAAGACCTCATCATACAGGTAAATAGAACTTTATTTATTTGTGGTTTTAAAAAATAAAAAAAAATGCTGTAAATAAGACAGATCAGAAAAAAAAAAAGAAATTTACTTATTCTTAAAAATTGGGAGAAAAAGCTATGTACATGCAGTGAAGGTTATGATATTGATTTTCCAAGTATTGAAATAAAGAAAAGTATTTGAAATGTATTTTGTTGACATAACGGATAGAAAATTGATTACATAGGTCTCAATATGTTAGCTTAAGAGTAATTTATCCTGTGTTTGATTTAAAGCTTGTCCAGTCTGACATGATAAACTTTGATAAGGTGATTCTGAATGACAGAGTCTGTAATATGTATCAGCAGTATCTAATCTCATGGAAGTATTCATTTTTGTTAAAATGATAAAAGCCTTGTTATTTCTAAACGTATGTTTCATTAGAGACATTAATTTATCGGGTACATTGTTGACTTAGGTATCTTGTAAACATAATTATCTTGTCAATTTTACAAAAATCGAAGCAGAATATGAATTCTCTTGTCTACTGGCAGGAATTGGAAGTTGCTTCACTCAAAGTTGATACACAAATTTCTTTACTCTAGGGATTACTTCTAGTCTATTTTTTCTCTCTAAAACTAAAATGTGATGATCGTTTGTGGTTTAAAACACATTAGACTAGGCATGTTGACATGCTGTCAGGCGATAGTTTACCAAGTAAACAGAGCGACAGACTACACAAACACCGCCTCTAATCAACACAATATTGTACAAGGGATTCTCTTCAGCATTATACAATACAGAGATCTCCTCAACTGGTATGGCTAATATCCTGTGTTGTCAACCTCATCATCACTCTGAAATTATGGAATTCAATTAGGAAGCAATAGAAATGATAAAACAACATCCTATCTGGGCATATTGTGAAAAATCTTTTTGTTACCTTTTCTTTATCTTAAAAATTGATCTTCCTATGTGGCACTTCGAGCAGCAGTCATTTACTTTGAGAAGTGAGGGTAGATGACAATGAAAGTAGTTAACAGGACATGGTAAAAAGCTCAATGTTTTTGCTTCTAACCAGTGGGATAGTGATAAGATTATGTATAGTAGTAGACTTTGTGACTACATCTCTATACATATAAGTTCTCCCTTACATAATAAATCAACTCAATATCAGCCATTTTTACTCACTCGTTATTGACAGGTGAAAGTCAGGTTCACCTGACATTTAAAAACCTGGCACTAAGTGATCCCCACCCAACCACTTGGCCTCACCCTACTTGTAGGAACACTGGATAGCCCCATCCCAGGGAGCCATGGTACACAACCACTTACCTGTAATCAAGACCCGAATTGTTGGTAACGAACTGAACACGAGCCCCCCAACAGGTGATACCTCATGTTCACATATGTCTGTCATCTGTCAAGGAAAACATTATTTCAATATGTATGACACAATCAGATTGGTAACATCTGCTTTTTAACATGATAGAGAAAACTTTAATTCTTTACAAAGCACTTACATCTATATTTGATTTCTTCAATTGGTATTGTAGAAAATGTTTAGTGTCGGAGAAAGATCTTGGCCAGGTAAATGGTTTTGAATTTCCTTCAGCAAGGTCATAACACCTTAAAATCAATAATTTGATTAATACCCAGACATAATACCATACACACTGCTTTTCTATAAAATTTTTGAGGGAATTGTGTCCAAGTTAATTGATTTAGATAAACATTTACATTAGGTATGAAAGTGAAATAACTTTCCATTTCTTACTTAAAATTAAAGTAAAATTTAACACAATGTGTATTGAAATGATACAGGTATTAAGTATAGTTTGATAAAGAACCACACGCTGGTAATGATTTTTCATGTAAATACATTTTGTTACTTTTTATAAAGGACAAATATTTTGTTAGAGATAAAATTTCTATATCTGATGAACTACAGGCTGTGGTGGTGAGAGTTAAACAGCATTAGTTTTATATCATAAAAGGCCTGTTGTTCACGAGAAACATTACTTACATATCAACTTTCGGAATTCTGCTGGATGTTCTGTTGGGAGCTGGGTTAGATATCATACTGGCTATACATTATACTTTGATATGGTGGTAATGTTACTAAATGTATCAATTAATTTATTGTTTTGTAATTTGTACCTGTAATTGATAATGTTATTTTTTAGATGACTTGTATGATGAATGGTTAAAATATATATATATGTGTGTGTGGAAACAGTGAAGACTTCAATTTGTGTTTGCTTTTTAAAAAAAGGGGGAAATGTGATTTAGAGCAGAAGGAGTACATAGTTGTTTATTGTAGATATTTCCCAGTTTTGTGATTTGCTAAGTAAATTTGTCACCCTGGTGATGTGTTTTGATAAACAATTAGGAACTTTTGCTGATATTTGGTGGACACTTCTGTAGTAGTCCTTTGGCAGGGTGTGTCAATCACCTGTTAATTACCAGGCAAACATTGCTTTGTGTCCATAGGGCACACTGCCCACTGGTCAGTCTAATACTGTGATTGGCTTGTGGTTGGACATCGCAACCAATCAGGTGTAACCTGAGTGACAGTGTGTTCAATGAAGCATGTGGACTCTATGCTTGCTGTTTTTTAGTGGTATTGTAAGGTGCAGTGTAAGAATGTGCATGAAAGGCATGCTGACTTGTGGACAGGTGAGATCTGGACAGGTGAGACCTATACTGAACATTTGTCATTAGGGAAAGGTCTGAGGAGTTACCACCATGTCATACTTTATACTTGTTAATATGTAATGTCAATAATCTCAACATTTTTCACCTTGTTGACTGTATTACTAATCATTGTGTGTTCTCTACTTACAGGCTGGGTCTGGAATGTGGAGTACCTTATGAAAAAGAATTTTTATAGAAGATGTAGACGTTTTTGAACCAGACCAGACTGTTTTTCCTGGATTACTGTATATCTGTGGTGTCTGTATATTTTCGTAGTATTAACAGTGTAATCTATGTATGAATTTTGTTGGATTCTTATATGAGACATGGGAGCACCAATACGCCAGCTTTTTCTCCTCCTTACTTTGGATCTCTACTCTCAAATGACGTACGCCCAGGAATCTGTACTTAAGTACAAACTACGGGAAGAACAATCTAAAGAAACATTTGTTGGAAATGTGGCACGTGATAGTCTTTTATATGGAAACGTATCAGAACAAGAGTTCAACCGAATGAGATTTCAAATTCTTACACAAGGTAATCAAGATGCTTCAAATTTTCAAATTAATGAAACCTCAAGCTCTTTGTTGACAAAGGTGGTGCTGGACCGAGAGACATTATGCCCTGATGAAGAAGCATGTGTTCTTAAATTCAATGTGGCAGTTTACAAACAGTATGTTGGTACTAACCAACTTGACCTCCACCAGATCATTCCAGTAGAGGTTAGAGTAGATGATATCAACGATAACTCGCCAGTATTCCCAGCATCAGAAGTAGCCTTGACCGTATCTGAGGGTGTCAACGTAGGTCATGTCATACTGACCTCTGGAGCTATCGATCGTGATACTGGTCAGAACAACTCCATACAATCTTACGAACTTGTGCCATCCAATGAAATGTTTAGTCTTATTCAGACTCCAAATTTGGCTGGAGGATCAGATTTAGGATTGAAAGTTCGGTTTAAGTTGGATCGTGAAACACGGGACTTTTATGAATTGAAAGTGATAGCAAGTGATCATGGGTTCCCAGTACGCACAGGCAGTGTTAGAATTAACGTCACTGTTACAGATGAGAATGATAATCGCCCAGCGTTTTCGCGTGCCAATTACAGCACCACAATTCCAGAGAACAAAGCAGTTGGCTCAACCATCCTCATTCTGTCTGCTACTGATTTCGACACTGGGAATAACGCCAAGCTTACATATGCTTTCAGCTCAAGAGTGTCACAGAAAGTGAAAAGAAAGTTCACAATCAATTCTACATCAGGCGAGGTTTCGGTGATTGCTCCCCTCGATTATGAGGTGGACACTCAGTATCAGTTTATTGTTGTTGTTAGCGACCAAGGACAGCCACCATTAATGGCTTCTTCCGTTGTCACTGTTGATATACAGGACCTCAACGACAATGCACCGCAAATTAACATCAACCTCTCACCAGTTGGCACAGACATCTCGGAGGCAGCCGATGTTGGTCAATATGTGGCTAATGTGGCTGTGTCTGATCGTGACAGTGCGGCCAACGGCAAAGTTCGATGTCAAGTCATGGGTAACAATTTCAGATTAGAAGAGATCTACACGGATATGTACAAGATAGTTATACAAAACAAACTTGATTACGAAACGGAAAGATTTCATAATGTGACCGTTAATTGTCAGGACGAGGGAATCCCACAACGACAGAATACAACCAGCTTTTTTATTCGTGTTCAGGATGTAAATGACAATCCGCCTGAGTTTACTAAACCGGAGTACCAGGTGACCATGCAGGAATCCAATGACCCTGGAGCTTATGTACAGGAGGTAATTGCTACAGACAAGGACAGTGGAAACAATGGACGCGTGTCCTACTCTCTCGAGCCCGACGGTCTGTCTTTCTTCTCCATTGACCCCACTATGGGTACAATTTCTGCAGATGTGTCGCTGGACCGCGAATTGCGTCAAGTCATCAGGTTCCATGTAACTGCCACCGACAAAGGAACACCCCCGCTTAGCTCATCTACCGTGGTGGAGGTAATACTAAGTGATATCAATGACAACACGCCTATGTTTACTCAGTCCTTATTCCACTTTCATGTCCTGGAGAACCAGGACCGAGGACCCAAGGTTGGAACATTGACCGCCAAAGATTTAGATGCGGGTGTTAACAGTCAGTTTAGTTTCGATTTTGTGCCACCGATCCCTGCTGATTTTCGCCTTAATCAGGATACCGGCATTATCACTGGTTACACAAAACTGGACCGCGAGTTACAAAAAACATATAATTTCACAGTGATGGTAACAGACAAGGGTACACCTCGTCGATATAGTACAGCCCAGGTGATGGTGGAAGTTTTAGATGATAACGACAACATCCCGGTCATTGTTCATCCCAACAACTTCAACAATACAGTATACTTTCCTTACACTGTGAATGCAGGAGCACTTGTTACTCAGGTTGAGGCATATGATATTGACGATGGTGACAATTCACGTCTCCGTTACTATATTGACACTATCGACCCACCCAACTCAAGAGACGTGTTTAGTATGGGGCTTTATAGTGGAAGTCTTGTTGTAGCCCGCAAGTTACAGCTCTACGATGCAGACTCTTACCGACTTGTATTGTCAGTGAAAGACGACGGACTTAACGAGCTGAAATCGTACACTAATCTCAATGTAATCATCACCGTTAGTAACAGTACTGTGCTTCCGATACATAGTGACGATGACACAGGAATGAACATTATAATTGTCGTCATCATCGTTGTTGTCACTGTCGTACTGTCTATAGCTATTGTTGTCACTATCATAATTATACGCAGGATCGACGGAAGTCGCCAAGAAAACAATAATCACTCAAAAAACGAGGCACAAAAAATAATAGCTACTGCTAAGATACACGAGACTATGTCAACAGACTCTTCCAATAATTCAGATGATCCGCTAAAAAAGAAAAATAAGAAAGAAGTGAGCTTTTCTCTCAGTGATGAAACAGACTCGATGAATACTTCTACACTAACAAATTTAACAACATTTTCAACTTTTAAAAATCCTCCTTCAACGCTGGATGGGAGTAAATCTTTAGAGGTAAGTATACAAAGTACAAGGTTTTTTTGGGTTTTTTTTTAATTTTGTAGATATCATAAATGCACCAATGACCATCCAACAAAGTTTTACATATATTCAAACAAAAAGTCTCAGTCTTGTTGTCTTAGATGTGTACACATATTAAAGATGGCCTGAACATATCTTCATATTGGTGTAATTAAGTTTGCACTACTCTTCTTAAACAATGTAAATTTATTGGTCAATATTTGTGAACAGTTGAGATCTCTCCTACAACAATCACCTGAGGACTCGCCCAGGGCTTGTCCAAGGCTCGCCAAGGATTTACAAAGCTGATATGACACATGGGGAATTTTGACGAAATATTGACTGTTAGCCTTGATCAAGTTATAAAAATGATAGGCATTTTAACATGAATTAGCACATTTTTTTTCCTCCATTAGAGACGAGGGCTAACATATAGACATTATGATATAACTGATTGCCAACAGAATCTCTGTAACATCTTACTTATTCTTGCTGACAATGACGATGGCTTGTTACTAAGGATACTTCTAAGATTTTACATATTATTTAGTTTCTAGGCAGAGTTATATGTTTTATTTCTTGTTTGTTTGCCTGTGGCACATTTGCCTCTGGACCAGAAAACTGGCCATTATAACAATATACCTGGGAAGATGGTTTGGAACAGCTCCAAAGTGCTTTTTAATCTATTAAGCATATAACATTCAACTCCTATTCTTGGTCCCTGTACTGCCTTAGCGTTTTTTCCAACATATTAACTGACTCATATTGAAACAGGAGAAAAAAAATCCTTAATTTGCCCATCTTCATTTCCAGCTCTATCCAAAAAACATCTAGGCCTCTCGTTTCTGTCAAATTCATACATGACTATGGAATTGTTTTTGTCAGGTTAATATGTTGCTGGGGGAATATTGATGCTATTAAATGATTATGGCTGACATCCAAAAATTCACCTCTAAACATAAAGCCTATGAAACAATGGAACAGACACTGTAGAAACACCTCCTTTACCGCTAGCTGATGTTTCTACTTGTTCCAGTATTTTTGTTGATTAAGACTTTTGGAAGGCTACATTAATTTTATTTTGTTAAAGTACATTACAGTGAACTCTAGTGAAAGAAACAAATATAGAATTAGTAATTTGTTTTACACAGTAATAAGATAAGAAACAGAGACAGGTTCTGTTGTGGGCTGTCCTGTGGTTCTACTTTAGTGGTTTTCTGTCTGAAGACTAGGGGCTGGAAAAGGCTACAGGACACTACACAACTAGAACCCATGTAGAAATCTGGTCCATTATTGATGAGGCTGTCCACCATAAATCTACATAGATTATCCAATTATTGGAGGGCCCTGTAAATATTTCATCACCCAGCCCTCCATTTGTCCTAGTGATTATACCTGTAAATAAAGGCAGTGGTATCCACGTCTAAAATGGCCGAGCTTTGCCGTCACTGAAGCAGACACACACTATTTCAGTAATATTTAAATATTCATGGAAATTGCTATTTAATGGCTGAAAAAGTTCTATAAAATGTATTTTGTATCTTTTTCCCACAATAAAGACATTTTATATTATTCAAACTTTATTCTAATGTGAGTGAATTTGTTTTATATACCAGATTTTCATGAAATATAATGTGAAAGCACGTCTCAGGCCTTTTAAATACTGGTTAATCAGCACTTTTAATTAAGACCAGAGTACAATTTATATGCCTCCTATATAAACTGCTGTCTTATTTTGAAAGGTGATTTTGAAAATAAGAAAGGGGCCTATAGAACAGCTGTATAAATAATTGTATTATAAATCACAACGAGCCATTAAAATATCTGCAAAAAATCACTCTACATAGAACATCTACACATTTTTATAAAATACATATTTATTTGGGTTTTTTTCACGTAATGTATTTGTGTATTATTTCAAACAATTTTTTTGAGTTTTCAACACAGATAAATATGTTGTTTTTATGCATGTGATTTGTCTTTTTCAGAAACCACAAGCATCAAGTTCACTACTGACTGCTAGTAATCTCCAAGCGTCTGACGACAGTTACGACAAAAAATATGACCTCAGTAATGACACATATGACAAAAAATATGACATTAGTCGGTACTACAGTCCAAACCACCTTCATCCTCCTAGTCCAGAGACAATTTGGCTGCAGCAGCTGAAGCAAGATGAGGTGAGAACTTGTAAGAGAAAATTGATTCTAGGTACAAAAATATTTAGTCTGAGTTCCTGTAGAACTTCACTAATTCAGACAGCTAACATCATCAGAGAAAAGATAAGTAGATGGTTAAATTGGTCTCCAATGAAATTGCTTTTCTTAATATCTGTTTGACTTACCAAAAGAAAAACAAATTTGAATAATTGCAAAAAAGTGTTTGTTTATTGTTTGAATGAAAATTCATATTGATATGGTGCTTATTGTAAAACTTAATTATACCACAGCTAAATTGTAAAAACCTTGCTAGTAAAATATTTGTCTTCCCTCTTAGATGTATGGATACATTGTCACAATACAAATGTTTCTGTATAGATTGGATACAAAGAAAGGTTACGTCTTTGACAAAACCAGGGTATCCTTGTTTCTGTGTCTATTGGGTTGGGTGCCACAACCCCTCTGGTACCTGTTGATTCATACATTAATATCGCATTAATAAACACAAATTTTATTGTTAAAACACATCAAATAAGAAGGAAATATTAAGATTTGTTCAGAATATTTCTGTTTCCTATTTATACATGGACTCTGAAAAGCAGTATGTGAAGTTTTGTGTGTTTAATCCCTATTCATTGAATAAAATCTACCTGGGGGCTGTTTTTTCTTCGAATCATCCCCACACATTACAATTCAAGTTTGAATTTTATCCTAGAGGTCTTTAATCATAGAGTTTGTGCATGCTTTGATAGTCTGATGTCCAATCCAAATTAGCATCGTTTAGCATACACACCCAAACATCACTTATTCTTAGAGGGAGGGGTTTTTCCCCTAACCTGTTTGAACAATTTTATCATTTTTCAATTTAATGGAGGTTCCCCTGTTTAGTTCTTTGATGAAATACAATCACATTGGTAGAACCCTAAATTTCACCGATTTGTATTTGACAACATGTGAAAGGTATATTTTCTCTGGCTGGATGTAGTTCTATGCTGGAGCAGAGCGGGGGATGACTGGGTCAAAATAGCCAGCGGTTAATTCTTATGGAAGAATGATTTTGTAAAAGTTACAAGACTTGATGGCACTAATTCAAGCAACATGCGTGAAATTTAAATGGGCGCAAATTTGTTTGAAGTGTCTCGGACAGCAGTAGGCTATTGAAAGAAATATGAAATTTGAATTGATGAGGCACATCAAGAGGTCAAACATGGTATCATGAGCCTAATTTGTAAATTAAGAGGGCCAATTTGAAGATTTATTTAAAATTTTGTTTAAGATAACTTAGCTCTATTTCCATTTGTTACCCTAGGCTCACGGACAGCCTTCTGGACAACCACATATGTCTGAGGCCATTGGTCAAGGAATATTGCTGGTGAAGGCATCCATCATATTTAAAGTCACTGTGTTCTGTTGTATACAAAATTAAGATGTCAGTTACAATTTTGAGAATATTTAAATTTTAATTTTTTATGTTTCAATAAACAAAAAAACAAAAAAATTTTATATAGGATACCATATAACTTATGATGCGAACAATGAATTAAAAAAAGTACTGATTATTGTGATGATGATTGAAACAACAAATAAAAGAAAGCGACACCATAGGAACGGAGAACTGTTTTTTTCATGGAGCAAGATAATTATTAAGGAATAAATTTTTCTGAAATCTTAGTGTTGAAATATAAAAGAAATCCCTTTTTTATTTGATAAAAGATGAAAACATAATTGTATGCAATGAAAAATTCAATCAGAATTTGTTAGATACAAAATGGGTGAAATATTGACATAAGAAGATAACCAGGATCAAGGCAACATCTAGATGGCAGCACCAACACTGTTCCTTACTTGATTTTTGTCTCTTGTCTCCTACAAGAGAAAATTAAGGATAGTTTATTAACTCCCAAATATATTAGGAGTAGGATACCTTTTTACTCTAGAAGGCATTAGAAATTTCAACTTTATCTGATTGTGTGTGCTGGTAGATAGTGATGCTAATTACGTTTGTAATTTCAGGCAAACCATATTCGGGACATGCTGAAGAAAGGTGAAGACGCGGGAAGTGAGATGTCTGCAGAGTCTGCCACCAGTGATAGTGGCCGTGGCGGCAGCGAGGAGGACGTCCACAGTAATCGGGGACATGCTTTCTCTGACAATGGTAAGCACGGGCAGTCACAGCGCCCTACATCATCATTCATTACCTTCACTTTCTCATCACTATTACAAACCTATCACCATCACTGTAGGAATTAACATTCATCACCATCTTATCACCATGGAAATGACTCACAACCATCACAATCTTATCACCATGGAAATGACTCATGACCATCACAATCTTATCACCATGGAATTGACTCATGACCATCACAATCTTATCACCATGGATTTGACTCATGACCATCACAATCTTATCACTATGGAAATGACTTACGACCATCACAATCTTATCACCATGGAATTGACTCACAACCACCACAATCTTGTCACCATGGAAATGACTCACGACCATCACAATCTTATCACCATGGAAATGACTTACGACCATCACAATCTTATCACCATGGAATTGACTCACGGCCATCACAATCTTATCACCATGGAAATGACTCACGACCATCACAATCTCATCACCATGGAAATTACTTATCACCATCACTCTAGAAATTAAAACTCATCAACTTCTCACTACCCTTGAAATGAGTCATCATCATCACTATTTCATCACCATGGAAACGATGATCTTCACCATCATCATCATCATCATCACTATTTCATCACCTTGAAAATCACTCATCAATCATTATCACAGTATTCTCACCGTCACTTTAGAAATTAACACTCATCACCATCTCATCACACTTGAAATGACTCATCACCGTCACTATTTCATCACCATGGAAACGATCATCTTCATCATCATCATCATCATCATCATCATCTTTATTACCCATCTCTGAAGGAATGGCCTTGACCCCTTCATGTCCATTCCTACCTGTAAGGCCACAAGCACTGAACTATGGCTCCTGATATTACTAGTTGACTTAGAGGTATTCACTCAGGATACACTACACTGTATTTTTATTGACTTAGAGGAAGATAAGAATTTTACAAACATGAACCACACAAAAAAATACCAGTTACAATGTAAACCACTTATATTGTATCAACATTGAGAATCAATCTTTTTCATCAAAAGAGTCCCATCAGCAAAAGATAATTGTTTCAGTACTGATATTTATACAGCTATTATTAGATCTGAAGCATGCTAGGGAAGTAAACCACAGCTGTTACTCCACACAAGACTGGAGACTGATACAGGTACTGCTCACCTGTATCTGTACATAGCCCAACCTAATTTATACATGAAATGTTGATTCTTCATTTGATAATTCCAATTTATTAGAAATATGTTTGAGTCAGTGTTTGAATTCTGTAGAATATACATTTTACAGAATTTTGTCATTCTGCGAAATAGGAGGATGGGGGAGAGGGTGGCGGTAATTTGGTGTTGGGTACCTTCTATATAAAACTACCTATACAGGGGACAGGGATAAACCATTGTTTATCTTCTACATAGAACTACATATATAGGGGACAGGGATAAACCATTGTTTATCTTCTACATAGAACTACCTATACAGGGGACAGGGATAAACCATTGTTTATCTTCTACATAGAACTACCTATACAGGGGACAGGGATAAACCATTGTTTATCTTCTACATAGAACTACCTATACAGGGGACAGGGATAAACCATTGTTTATCTTCTACATAGAACTACCTATACAGGGGACAGGGATAAACCATTGTTTATCTTCTACATAGAACTACCTATACAGGGGACAGGGATAAACCATTGTTTAGAACTACATAGAACTACCTATACAGGGGACAGGGATAAACCATTGTTTATCTTCTACATAGAACTACCTATACAGGGGACAGGGATAAACCATTGTTTAGAACTACATAGAACTACCTATACAGGGGACAGGGATAAACCATTGTTTATCTTCTACATAGAACTACCTATACAGGGGACAGGGATAAACCATTGTTTATCTTCTACATAGAACTACCTATACAGGGGACAGGGATAAACCATTGTTACATAGAACTCTATACAGGGGACAGGGATAAACCATTGTTTAGAACTACATAGAACTACCTATACAGGGGACAGGGATAAACCATTGTTTAGAACTACATAGAACTACCTATACAGGGGACAGGGATAAACCATTGTTTAGAACTACATAGAACTACCTATACAGGGGACAGGGATAAACCATTGTTTAGAACTACATAGAACTACCTATACAGGGGACAGGGATAAACCATTGTTTAGAACTACATAGAACTACCTATACAGGGGACAGGGATTAGAACTACATAGAACTACCTATACAGGGGACAGGGATAAACCATTGTTTTACATAGAACTACCTATATAGGGGACAGGGATAAACCATTGTTTAGAACTACATAGAACTACCTATACAGGGGACAGGGATAAACCATTGTTTAGAACTACATAGAACTACCTATATAGGGGACAGGGATAAACCATTGTTTATCTTCTACATAGAACTACCTATACAGGGGACAGGGATAAACCATTGTTTAGAACTACATAGAACTACCTATACAGGGGACAGGGATAAACCATTGTTTAGAACTACATAGAACTACCTATACAGGGGACAGGGATAAACCATTGTTTAGAACTACATAGAACTACCTATACAGGGGACAGGGATAAACCATTGTTTAGAACTACATAGAACTACCTATACAGGGGACAGGGATAAACCATTGTTTAGAACTACATAGAACTACCTATACAGGGGACAGGGATAAACCATTGTTTATCTTCTACATAGAACTACCTATACAGGGGACAGGGATAAACCATTGTTTATAATCTACATAGAACTACCTATACAGGGGACAGGGATAAACCATTGTTTATCTTCTACATAGAACTACCTATATAGGGGACAGGGATAAACCATTGTTTAGAACTACATAGAACTACCTATACAGGGGACAGGGATAAACCATTGTTTACTACATAGAACTACCTATAGGGGACAGGGATAAACCATTGTTTATCTTCTACATAGAACTACCTATACAGGGATAAACCATTGTTTATCTTCTACATAGACAGGGGACAGGGATAAACCATTGTTTATCTTCTACATAGAACTACCTATACAGGGGACAGGGATAAACCATTGTTTAGAACTACATCGTATATATCTTCTGCTTCAAAGCTTGAGTAACCTGTTTACATAAAAAGTAAATCAGACATTTTTTTTTTAAGTCAAAATGGGAAAAAGTCTCCTCATTCTTTTAAGAGACTCTTATTATGGTTACAAGGTAGCGCTTTGTAGCTTTGTGGGAATCGATGGGGGTTGCGGGCTAGTCTGTTGATTGTAGGAGTACCTTTAACAAGCTTCAGTCAAGACAACAACAGGAGAATTGTCACCATTGAGTTGAGCCCGCTGTGTTCTTTAGCAACAACACACAGAGAGTGTTAACAGTGATAAACCAGTGATGATATGTTACTTCAAGTCTTACACCTAGTTATGTGGTCGGCGTGGTTGATAGATGTTTGAATTACTCCCTCACTATCTTGTCACCAACGGTGGAAGCTTGATACTTTGTCCAATCAACAACTAATGATTACCCAATTGAACTACACATCAGGGGCGAGCCTGTCTCCATCTACACCTGTGTGGTGACACTGGGCTGTAATGTCACTGATACATTGTTGAGGGAGGGCGAGGGACGCGACCCAAGGCCACAAGGAATTTCCAATAAGACTGATAGATTACAGCTCTCTGAAGTTGGATCATGGATGCTTGCTTAACTGGGAGAAGTATAATGCTCCCTTATTCATGTCTGTTTAGCTAGGAGACTTGTAATGCTCTCGGCTATTTTTTTGTCTAAATAGTGCATAACTACAGAAAGGGGTCCCCAATCTCCAGGGAAACTGGCTGAAATAGGGATATATTAGTGGGAATACCTCATACACACTCTATCTAATAAATCTTACTTAATCCCACAATTTACAAACAAATATTGGCAATGTTTTTCGTGGATTTAGATAATCCATCATTGTGTAAAGAGAAAAATTGCAAAATTCTGAAGGAAAAATCTGTAAATGATTGAATAATGAAATGTATATGTTTTTTAAAATTTTCAACCAAATCCTTTTTTTCTCCCCAGTGGTATTGTACCAATGCTACGTATAGCATTTAAATTTTGGATTGTTTTAGCTCGGTAAGTGGGGCATGTCTCTCTCCCCTGCATGGAGTGCAATCTTGTTAGTATATGACAATTATTAATGAACTTGTTTGTCGATCAGAACATGTAAAACACCTAGACTAAACAGACTGTATCAAAGGTTATGTGAATGTTTGACAGACATAGTGATGTGATGACTGTTTTTTCCATTCCTGAAATGAATAATTGTCACCAGATTTATGTGCAGTTGTTGAGTCTTATTAGGAATAGATTCAAAATATTACCAGAGGGAACCTATACTTAGAAATATTACTGTTTTATTTAACTTTTAGATGTTTTTAAGATCAAATTAAAAATCTGTTGGCTAATGCATGAACACAATGTTAAGACTTTGCAGGATCCCTCAAATAGACAAAGAGTTGGCCCTAAAAACCAGTTGTAAATGTAGTAAGACTTACCTTGCTAGGTGTCCTGTGTGGTCCTATGATATTGTACCAAGTGTCCTAAGACTTCCCTTGATAGGTATCCTCAGGACTGTGTGGTCCTATGATATTGTGCTAGGTGTCCTAAGACTTCCCTTGATAGGCGTCCTGTGTGGACCTACAATATTGTGCCAAGTGTCCTAGGACTTCCCTTGACAGGCGTCCTCAGGGCTGTGTGATCGTATGTTATTGTGCAAGGTGTCCTAAGACTTCCCTTGATAGGTGTCCTCAGGACTGTGTGATCGTATGTTATTGTGCAAGATGTCCTAAGACTTCCCTTGATAGGTGTTCTCAGGACTGTGTGATTGTATGTTATTGTGCTAGGTGTCCTAAGACCCTATTTAACACATCTAAGTTTCAATAACTTTTAACAGATTGTAGCTCTCCAACCACTTTGCTGTTGTATGTCCATATACCCACTGCACCATAGATATATATAGACACACCTGTTTTTTTTTAACTTCGTCAGCAGGTGTGAAGCAGGTTTACTTGTTCTTTAAGAGCATGTGTTTTGTGCATGTTTGTATGACACCTAATTGACCCAGCTGGAGCTTTCAATGTATGCTAATTATTTGTGACTAACACTGTCATCAGTAAATACAATAGAGGGAGGACAGTTGTAAATTATCCACAATAAATATATTACATGTATTACTTAGTTGGTAAAATGAAAGTTAATTTTTCCCACTTAACAAAATTACCTGGTTTATCAGCTTTCTTTTAAAACACATTCTAAACACTACCATTCAGGAATTGATATCATTTCTGATCATGAATTTTTGAAATTGAAGGGTCCATCCAGACACGGTTCTGCTGATAATAATATAAGATACCTGTGTATTAATATGTTGATGGTATATTAACTGTTGTTTGAATTTTGTATTTATCTAAGAGTAAAGTTTGTTTCTTTGTATGTTACAGAAGAGCCGCGCCAAAATACCCAAAGTGATCTCAAGGGCTCAGACTTTTCCCGCCAAAATTCATCTAGACATTCGAATGCATTACATTCCAATTATCAAGATATTCCTGGCAAGGCAGCACCCCCTGGTGATGGTTACCATAGGAACATCAGTTTCAGTGATGACAGTGTCAATGCCAATACCACGGTAGACAGTTGTAAACACCCGTCAAAGCTCCGGGGTGCAAGTCCCCTCAAAAACTTGTCTTCATTTTCGCAATATGGTGGCAGTAGATTTCGTGATCAAAGTAACAGATCTCAACTAGACACTCTAAATGAAGGAAGTACATTCGGTCTAAGTTATTCATTAGCGGACATCGATGACACAATAAGTGAAAGTGTCGCAACACGTGATGATGATGGTGACAGTACAACAACATCAGGAAGCTACACGATCAATCCTGATGAACTGCGAAATGAGATTGATAATCTCTTCTTCAACGACATTATTGTGTGATCTTAGTGTAGTTATACACATAGACATTTTCATAAGTGCCAAAATATTGCCCCATACCCAGTAATACTGTAAATTTCCTGTCTCAATGCACAGATGCATGTCAGAGTTTAAAATGTGTCGGCTATTTTTAATTAAGGTGACTGATAATGTTCTGCCCATGTTCGGTGCTGTATGAAAGTGGTGATCATATGATTCCTGGAAAAAAAATGCAATTTTTTGCTTCTATGCAGCAGAATTAGCCACAGTGGTGGAATTTTAAAATAAGTTTACACTGACAGTGACAAATGTGGTTTTTTTTGTTGTTGTCGGGTCCTGACAGATAAAACTCCAGCCACATGTGGCCTAATATTCCCCATCTAAATCGGTACATCAAAGCTCCTGAACTTGTCAAAAGTGCTATCACTGAATAAATGTATTGTTTTAAACACGATCAGAGATTGTTAGGCATTGCCTTTTTTACAGACACACACATTGTTTGTCTCACCGATGACAGGACAAAAGGAACTAGTTATTGAGGAAGCAAAGTAACTGTTTTTTTTCACTTCCATCCTTTTGTCATCCCAATGACAGGACAAAAGGAACTAGTTATTGAGGAAGCAAAGTAACTGGTTTTTTTTTCGCTTCCATCCTTTTGTCTCACCAATGACAGGACAAAAGGAACTAGTTATTGAGGAAGCAAAGTAACTGGTTTTTTTTCGCTTCCATCCTTTTGTCATCCCAATGACAGGACAAAAGGAACTAATTGTTTTAGTCCCATGAAATAGAGATATATGATTATGTGCTATATTCCCATCCTTAACTTCCCATCTAGTCAAAGTACACCATTAACATTAATCAACTGTTCTCTCACTCACCTGGAAATCATTCTTCTGGTTCTGGAGCTTACTTCTATTGTATAGTAACAGTTTGAATCGGATCTTTTGTTGAATTTTATTTACACAAAATGGAATACAGAATTAAAACAAAATACAAAGAAAAATCTATTATATTTAGTAAAGTCTGTATGACAAAACAGTTAGATATACTCAATTTTTTTTTTTTTTTTAGAGATTCTTAACAGCTTTCTGGTGAAATATTTGAAAGGTTTTTTTTTTTTGTTTATTTTTTTTTTTGGCATCAGGACAGCCTGATACTACCTATCTATGGACAGTGTTAGAACAGTTGATAATCTGTAATCCTCAGGGCTTGAAAAGCAACACACCTGTATAATGTTTGTCTCATGTCTGTCTGTTTGTTTATTCGTCTGTCCAATCTTGTTCATCCTTTTGTTTTTAATTTTAGACTAATGTTTCTGTACTTAAATACATAAATAATGTGAGATTATACTCTAAAAAAGACAACCCTACTTTTTTATTTTTGAAACTTATCAATTTTTTTATTCATTAGCAAGCATTATTATTTATTCTGCTTGAAGTGAAGACTGTGGTTGCCTGATTTTATAAAAATAGTTAAGAATTTGTCCAAAATGTGTACAAACGCATGCACTTGTAAATTAAAAGGAATGAGTGAATGGTTGCTCGCCATTGAGCAACTGGGCTCTAGCTGTTATGCGTTTGGTGTGGCAGTCTTTATAGACATACCAACCAAGCTGTGTTATTAAATACACGTTGTTGTTTTTATACACAATTTTTCACTGCTATATTAATGTATTTTGTTGAATAATTTGTATATATAAAAATTGTGTCCATTGCTGGCATTTTAACAATGAACCAAAAGGTGAAAATTAAATCTAAATACAAAATATTTCATTTGTCCTTGTTTCTCTGTCGCACATCCCATTGCCTAGTGTTGACAGGCAATATGAACCTCACCTTACAGATAGTTTACTGTTGTTAAATGTGACACATACAAACCTCATTTTAAAAAGCAGTTACACTTTACTTTCTAAATTGTGAAAAAGTTTAAGTGAAAATTGTAGAAAATGTTTTAAAACATTGCTATCTGATTATACCAAATATAATTGTTTAATCTTTGATGCTATGGGGAAGTCAACCAGAAGGCGAGTTTTTCTCCCTGAAAGTAGGAATATCATAAAAATAGGTTATTCTAAATTGTTTCTTGTTAAAACTGTTTAATATGGAAAAATTTAACTTTTAAAACTGCTATCTTTCTCTGCCAAAAATAGTTCCATCTTCATTGATGCAATGACAAACCATTTAATACTGAAAACACGGAAAGTTGGTTATCAACATATTAAAACATGTTGGAGGCATCTTGATCAGTCTAAAAGCACACTATCAAGGATTTATATCATGTTGTAGTGATGAAAGTTCAAATGCCTCGTGACATTTTGTCTCTGCATAAAATGCCAAACATGTTGCTGTGCCACGATATGAACAGATAGGAGACAGAATTTTCTTTTTGCTTTTTTTAATTTTGCCCATAGGAGACCGTTACAATAACAAACAGCAATACCATGCAGATTTCATTGTAACCTTTAATAAAAAAATATCAAACACTTTAAAAAATGAGACATGTGATGAGCAATGTTGGGTGTACCACCATGTTGATATTTAAGACTTCAAAAGTAAATCATCATAACAGCTGCTACATCCAGGGAGATTTTTTAAATCTTTATTTACACAAACATTGATATGCGTTGGACATGTACATATCAAATAAGGAGAACAAATGGGAGAGAATGATTACATTTTTATAATTTAGGGTCAGTAAACAAGCATAGTTTATCTCCCGATAAGTGAAATGTGAGCTACCATCAGCTTGTGATGACGGAGATACCAGAATATGTTCAATTAGTGTTCATTGAAATAACATAAAGATTGATAACAGACTTTTTACCGACTGGTGACTGATGGCAGAAATGGACATCCATATCATTGCTAGTTTCTTACCTCCCCAATTAGTAACAGATATATGGGATAGACGGAACCGCCAATGTATTCAATCCAAGAATCAGGGATTAAAAAAAAAAAAAATCAATTTTATTGCATTAGTGAGCTGGTTTCCTTGTCTTCGTTACACATTGAGTACAGTGTATGTAACTACCATTTTGGTTTATAGATTTTCAAAGTACTAGCTTGTCTGATAGAGGCTGAATCCAACATTTCACATTACAATCTTTGTTGGGTATTTTGAATTTTTTTGTCAAGTAGAATGGTGGTTTATGAATTCAGACACCACAACGGAGTGCCTCCAATTAGACCTGTTTGTATTGATATGAAATTTTATATTTCATTATTTCAATACATGATAATCATGTCATTTTTAAAATGTTTTGATATATGGTGATAGAAAAATTCAGGACCCAAGGATCAAGATTCTGTACTACAGACTTCCTGTAACACACACTCAGTACCTAGTAACAAAGTCTCCTTCTGGTCCATTAATGTCTGTGTTTTGTTGTTGGAAAGCAATTACAAAATGAAGCCTTTAACCAAAATCGGACTCAAATCAGTTGTCATTTCACCAATTTCTCTGGGAGTTGGAGAAGAGGAACGTTTGTCCAGATGATCGGTTTTCTGATTTGAGATTGGGCTGTTTTACTCTGATGGAAACTAATTCCTTTGTTGGACTGTTTTAACTAGCTAACTGACCATAGCCAGGAATTGACACATTGGCCCCTACTGACCAGTACATTACACATCCGTCTGACCAGGGTGGTCAAATAACCTTCTGCAGTGGTCAGCTGCCAATCATTCAGTCAACCTGAATAATTAATGATATCGCCCGATTAGCATGGATGAAATTATCAATGTAACACCATGTGGTGTCCAGTTTGACAGTGTAACACCATGTAGTGCCATGTCCAAAGGAGGTAACAGTAACACCATGTAGTGCCATGTCCAAAGGAGATAACAGTAACACCATGTAGTGTCCTGTCTGACAATGTAACAGTAACACAATGTGGAGTCCAGTCTGATAGTGTAACAGTAACACCATGTGGTGTCCAGTTTGACAGTGTAACAGTAACACCATGTGGTGTCCAGTCTGACAGTGTAGCACCATGTGCTGTCCAGTCTGACAGTGTAACAGTAACAACATGTGCTGTCCAGTCTGACAGTGTAACAGTAACACCATGTGGTGTCCAGTCTGACAGTGTAACAACATGTGCTGTCCAGTTTGACAGTGTAACACCATGTAGTGCCATGTCCAAAGGAGATAACAGTAACACCATGTAGTGTCCTGTCTGACAATGTAACAGTAACACAATGTGGAGTCCAGTCTGATAGTGTAACAGTAACACTATGTGGTGTCCAGTCTGACAGTGTAGCACCATGTGCTGTCCAGTCTGACAGTGTAACAGTAACAACATGTGCTGTCCAGTCTGACAGTGTAACAGTAACACCATGTGGTGTCCAGTCTGACAGTGTAACACCATGTGCTGTCCAGTTTGACAGTGTAACACCATGCCATGTCCAAAGGAGATAACAGTAACACCATGTAGTGTCCTGTCTGACAATGTAACAGTAACACAATGTGGAGTCCAGTCTGATAGTGTAACAGTAACACCATGTGGTGTCCAGTTTGACAGTGTAACAGTAACACCATGTGGTGTCCAGTCTGACAGTGTAGCACCATGTGCTGTCCAGTCTGACAGTGTAACAGTAACAACATGTGCTGTCCAGTCTGACAGTGTAACACCATGTGCTGTCCAGTTTGACAGTGTAACACCATGTAGTGCCATGTCCAAAGGAGGTAACAGTAACACCATGTTGTGCCATGTCCAAAGGAGGTAACAGTAACACCATGTAGTGTCCTGTCTGACAATGTAACAGTAACACCATGTGCTGTCCAGTCTGACAGTGTAACAGTAACACCATGTGGTGTCCAGTCTAACAGTAAGACCATGTGGTGTCCAGTCTGACAGTAACACCATGTGGTGTCCAGTCTGACAATGTAACAGTAACACCATGTGGTGTCCAGTCTAATAGTAACACCATGTGGTGTCCAGTCTAATAGTAACACCATGTGGTGTCCAGTCTGACAGTAACACCATGTGGTGTCCAGTCTGACAATGTAACAATAACACCATGTGGTGTCCAGTCTCACAGTGTAACTGTAACACCATGTGGTGTCCAGTCTAACAGTAACACCATGTGGTGTCCAGTCTAACAGTAAGACCATGTGGTGTCCAGTCTAACAGTAAGACCATGTGGTGTCCAGTCTAACAGTAACACCATGTGGTGTCCAGTCTGACAGTGTAACAATAACACCATGTGGTGTCCAGTCTAACAGTAAGACCATGTGGTGTCCAGTCTAACAGTAAGACCATGTGGTGTCCAGTCTGACAGTGTAACAATAACACCATGTGGTGTCCAGTCTAATAGTAATACCATGTGGTGTCCAGTCTAATAGTAACACCATGTGGTGTCCAGTCTAATAGTAACACCATGTGGTGTCCAGTCTAACAGTAAGACCATGTGGTGTCCAGTCTAACAGTAACACCATGTGCTGTCCAGTCTGACAATGTAACAGTAACACCATGTGGTGTCCAGTCTAA